CATTAAAAAAAAAAATAGACATTGTCTAAGTTGCAAGTTGACCCTCCAAAATCAACTTCCATGAATGCTTTTCAAGCTGATTAAATGGATTTAAGAGGCTGACTGTATACTAAAACAATATTTTAACTTTCAGTCCATTGCACAAGTACCATGACTAAAATAAATTTCTTTCTTTAGCTGTATGCTGATGGCTACATGATGTAGGAGACTAAGGATTGGCTGCTTTGTCTCACAACAGTTTCCAGGAGCCCTCCACAGAGCAAGTTCTTAAAAAAGAGCTCACACAAGTGAACCTAAAAAATCAACCAAAGCAACTCTCCTTTAAAGCTCTGATTCCTCTCTACAATTTCCTACTGTCAGTCAGGCCGTGAATGTCAACATGTTTTTTTACTTCCAGTATGAACAAGGTTAAGAACTTTTTCATAGCAGATTCTTAGGAAGTCAATCTATTACCCTCATTGCTTTGTCATCTCATTTTATAAGAAGACCACACACGTCATTCCAGACAGATGAATTTCTGACTTTTATTCTTCAAGTTACAACAAAGCTTAGCTCTTCCAATTCTGTATTTAATAGAAATGAAGAACATTTGCTCTTAATCCTCTTAAGAAAAATTTTCAGACACATGCATGCTATTCTCAGCTCTTTCAACCATTTCCTCTCATGCTATGTACCTTTGTTCCCTTAATCTCTTACCATAAGCTCCAACTTTCCAATATTTTGCATAATTTTCAAGATCTCTGGTAAACTCTACACAATCCCCTTAAATTGTAAAAATGCAAAGGTAGATAAAGTTCCCCTAAAAGATTTGACATAAATCAGAGTTAAGAGGATTAAGTCACAGATTTTACATGCTAAATTTCTATTTATATATCTTTGACATCCAAGCTTATAAGCCATGGTTCTATAGTTTTGCCCTGTAAATTAACCTGACCTTGAGATCTTTGCCTTCCATAATTTAGTATATTAGTTCTTCCATATTTTACATTAGTCTATTTTTCTTCCAGTTTGATTCCTCTTCATGGGCCCATGTGTAATTTGTTGCCAACTATTTGTCAATTTTGGAGAAGGAAATGGTAACCCACTCTAGCATTCCTGTTGCGATAATTCCACGGACAGAGGAGCCTGGTGGGCTATAGTCCATGGGGTTGCAAAGAGTTGGACATGACTGAGCAGCACCTGTCAATTTTATTTACTTCATTTTGTAATTTGAGCTATTTCACTTAAGAAATAATTGAGCAACAAAAGATCTCCCAATGATGCCTGTATTAATTGCCACAGATTTCACTCCAAATTGGTACTGATCCAACTCTTTGGCTTACTGCAACCCTCCTAATAATTCCAAGCCTGGGGACATGGCCCTTGCAGAAGAGACATGTCAAGTTTCATTTGATTTCTGTAGGATGGGGAAGAGGGACGCAGAGTCTCAATTATAGCTTTTCTCAGGACTTTAAGAATTCCCAGAAAGGGGATCACAACATGCCACTATCATTCTAACACCTAAAGACTGCCCTTTTAACAAGAATTGACAACAAGTTGGAAGTAAACATCAGAAGTGATAAACTCAGAAAAGAATAGGAGGGGAGCAAGAAAGCAATCAGCAGAGGAAGAATCCTTTGGAAATGGAGAAGAGAAGTAAAGACCACCTTCACCCATCAGACTTTTGGCCAAGGTCCCAAATGCTGGTTCACTTGTTTGATTCAACCACCACAGTATGAGTTCAAGGTCACAGCTTGATCTCTCTGGGGGAGTCAATGGCAACCAGCTTCATGGTCAAAAACTTGCCTTTTTGAAGAACCTCTCACAAATACTATCACTTGTCCTAAGGGATTCGTGAGAGTAGGTATGAATTAATCAATGCAAATTCATCACCATCACTGGGAAAAAAAAAAGGCAGGAACACCTGACCTCTGATTCAGCCAGCTGGACAAATTTCATTAAGGGAGAGACCTCTGATGATCTTAGGTCAGACAGATGTGAGTAAGAAACCAGGCTCTATGCCTTACTAGTCCTGTGTGTGACCTTGGACAAGTTTATTTTTCTAAACCTTAAAGAGAAAACATAGTAAGGGCCTCAAGCAGAGCTTGACATAAAAGGGATGCTCAAGGGATGCCAGGCCCACCCCCTTTCCAGAGATAAAACCCAGGACTTAAGAGCACAGGCATGGCGCCAGGCCCACACCTCTGCAGCCTACCAGCTGTGAAACACTCAACAACCGTCAGTCTCATAAGACTGGGATAACGAGTCCAGGCATTTAGATAGTGCCGAGCACACAATCTCAATAAACGGCAGCTATTTTTTAACTGTTAATAAGAGAAAGTGATATTACAATCATCATTTGTAATGACCAATCTTTCTCAAAGTACGGTCAGGGAACAGTAGTTATCACCTAATAAAAAAAAATCCCAAGTCCACCCCAACCTATTCAAAACAGCTCCAGAAGCATAGTACCAGGTAATACTCATTTCAGAATCAAAATTCTTTGAGAGATATACTAAAATTTAAGAATGACTTATCCTTTTCATCTTCTGCTATGTTTCAGTAAATTAAGACTTGTCTTCTAGTACTTTCCCCATTCTTTAGTACTTTTCTTTACTATGTCATGAGGATTTCCCAGTATCAGGTGTTTTTTTTAATATTTCAGCACTTTTTTAGACTTGGGCATTAAACTGATAGGTTCACTCCCCTTGTTTCCCTCCCTCTTCCCAAGAGTATTATTTTGACTTTTTTCCTCCTCTGACCAAGGGTTGACAGACTACGGCCTTGGTCTGTGGCCAGTTTTGTACAGAGGGGATACATGTTTAAAGGACTTTGTTTTTTTTTTTTTTAAAGAGGAATATGCGATGGAGACTATGTTGCTCACAAAGCCTGAAATATTGACCCTTTACAAAAAAGTTTGCCAACCCAGTGGTAGTCTAGAATTCTCTTTAAATTGGGGGTCTCAACACAAACTACTTTTAAAAAATTGAGAAATGATTAGAATAGAGATTACTCTAAATATATATTTTTCACTGCACCTAGAAAAGGGAAGCACCATTGCCAAAGTTTCTGTTATACATAGACACATATGTGTGCACTGGATAATGACCAAACTGGTTGCAATCACAAGTCTCAGGGGGTGTTGGGAGGTAGGAATGGGGAATAAATTGGGCAATTGGTTAACTAGTATTTAGTAAGACTGACACTGAGTAATTTTTACAATAAATGTGCTTTGGAGACTATAAAACCATACTAATGATCCCTACTACTCAGAAGGTAATGGCTTATTTCTTCATTGCTAAATGGAAATGAAATCTGTTCTGTGTATGGTCTACATTGTTTTGAAGAGAAAACAAAATCATAAATGCAAAGTACTTCAAAACATTACAAAAGCAAAGTATTTTAGTTATACTAACAATATATTGCACTGAACAAATATAGGCTCTTTACCAAGTCCCTTAGTCTTCGGTTTTCTCCAGTCTGGGAAACTAGTCCTTTTTGTTTTCTTTGTGTGTGTCCATGTGCATGTGGATGTACTCGTGTGTGGATGTGTGTCTCAAGCATAAAAGAGGTATTAGATGTCTCTACCCTTTGTGTCATTCATCAGTGGCTTCTCCTGCCCGTCTGCTTAAAATCTGCACTCTTTCCTCCTCATGCCATTTCTAATAAGAAAAGCATTCAATTAAGTTTTTGTGCAAAATGAAGACTATGATTATCCTACCCCTGGAAACATTACAAAGTCCAAAATCAAAATTTTTAAAGTAACAATATTCCATTTTATCTTCAGAGAGCAGTAATTTCCAGGGCTTTCTGTGACTGCTTCAGATAAGCTAAAAATACCTTAATTTTATAACACACTTCAACAATTTTGCAAAGAAAAGAAACACCTTCCTAGAAACGTACACAAGGAAATGACACTTTAAAATATGAAATGCACTGTGGACACACAAACCACGAGTAGTGTAAATAAATAAAAGCTGGTGTGATGCTGAAAGCACGTTTGTCTTATACCACAAAGAAAAAGCACTTGCACATTTGCACACCCGGGTATTTTAGCTTGGGATGCCACAAAGATGGGATTTAGGCATGCTGTGTAAATGCAGGAGGCTGTTAATGTGTAAGCATGTCTGCGTGTGTCAGGAAAAGAGGGTTATAAGCAGGAGGGGTGGGACCTGCCAGGAGCAGCTACTGGAGAAAACCCCCTTTTCTTTCCCATTCATTCTTTCTAGCTTCAGTGTCTGGCACAGTCCTTACAATTACTCACTGCTTTTCATTCTAAAGACAACCAACAAGCTTTCAGAACTTCCTACAGTGTTTTTCCCACAGGTTTTTTGTTGTTGTTGTTAAGGCATCAAATCATCCAAAATTTGTTTTAAATCAAACCATTAGCCCATTTCCTCATTCCAAAGACCCCAAGGGTTGCAGGCTAAACAGGATCCTTTGTTGTGTGTCCCCGAAGAATACAACACGCTATCGGTAAATTGGAAAATAATAGACGACTCTTGTTTCCAAGAATGCCAAAGCTATCACCATAAATTCCATTCTGCCCCTTGAGTCCAATTTCACGCTCCTTTTAGTGAATCTGCCATCCTAACAAGAGTGAAGCCAATGCGATTTACCACCCTTCCGCCTCTTCGTTTTGGACAGTCCACTAATACACATAAGGGCTGAAAGAGGACGCCAAATGGGCCACTTTCATTTATGCAACCCCAGCGAAAGTCGTCTCTCAGATGCCCACTCCTGCCGGCCTCTGCCTCCGAGCCCAGGAAGAGAGTGGGGCGAGTGGGCAGAGACGCCTCACCTTTCGGCTCCCCACCTCCCGAGGAGGGGACACGGAGGAGGGCACGACGAGAGCGCGGAGGAAGAAAGTGGGCGAGTAGAAGAGACAGAAATGGAGCTGAGGGGGTGGGCGCGAGTGGAAGGTAGGGAAGGCGGGGAGAGGTGGGTGAGCGTAGCTCCGGGATCTAAGGACCGAGGGGAGCGGCGGGGGTGTGGGCCCACGCGGGGGGTCCGGTCCTCACCGTTGAATGCCCCTGCATCCGCGGCCTCTTCCTCCTCCTCCTCCTCGCCGTTCTCCGAATCGCTGTGCCTGGGCTCCTCCGCGAAGTTGACCCCCTTGCTGGGGGTGCCGCCCCCGCCGGCGGCGCCCGCGTCCCCCCAGGTCCTGCCTTCATGGCCGAAGCGCGCGGCGCCTTTGCGCTCGTTTTCCTCCTGCAGGCGCGTGAAGTGCTGCAGCGCGAACTCCAGCAGGTCCGCGGGCTGGTGCCTCAGCACCTCCACGGTGAAGCCCTGCAGCAGCTCCGTCAGTCCCGCCGGGATCTCGATGCTCATCCTGTCTCCCCTGCCGGCGGGCGCCCGGGCGCCGCCCTCGCCCCCTCGCTGAACCGGCCTCGGGCCCAGCGGCGGCCAAGCGAGCGCAGACGGGCGCTGGCGGGGCTACCGGCTGCGAGCGCGGCGCACTGGGCCCCGGCAGCCAGGCTGGCCTGGCCCGCGGCTCCCGGCGCGCGGCTGCTCGGTGCGGCGGCGGCGGCTGAGCGAGCTCGGCCCCGGGAGGGCTGGCAGCATCTCCGGCTCCTCCCGCTCCCGCCGCGGCCGCTCCTCTCCCCCGCCCGGGCCGCCCCGCCCCCGCCCCACCGCTGCACGCGGGAGGGGGCCCGCGCGCCCCCACGTGACCCGCGGAAACCATGGCAACCCTGCCGGCGGGCGCCGAGCACCCGCCACTTGCACAGCTGAGGGGCTGAAGACGCCACGCAGGCCGGCGCCAGCAGGCTGGCGGGGCACTCTCCTAGGGGGCGCGGCCCGGGCGGGTCCCCCCACACCTCCAACTCGGCACTCCCCGGGTCACCGCCGGGCCCGGGCGCGCCCAGTAGTCCACCTGTCCGCACGCCCCGGCGAGGACGGGCCACTCGGCCAAATTCCCACGCCTCTTTCACCACCCCGAGTCCAAGCAGAGCTGGTGCCACGCCGTTTGCCCTGAAACTTGGGCCTCCACCTTGTTAGCGTCATTTTCTTTTCCTCCGAGAATCTAGTTGTAGTAATACGTGCGTGCGGGTGATGTCTTTTGTTTAAAGTCGTGTAGTACTGGTTCTTTTGGACAAAGAAATAATGCCCCATCTTTGTGACACCTTTCTTTTTCTTTCGCCATGTGTTATACAGCCTTACTCCACTCAACCTGTTTTATTGTTTTGCTTCACTGATAGTATCCCATTGTCCACTTGGTGTAGTTGCTACTTGTTAAGACAAATGCCCGATTTATTGTGAGGCCCTTAGAAGTTAGTCGATGGCCTTCAAAGAGGATAGTGAAGCAATTTGAGTAAAATGTCAATGTCAGGACAGATGGCCCTCAAGCAAAAGAACCTTTGCCTGATTGAACTGTTATTGTTTATTTTAAAACGTTCCCTTATGCTTTGAGTGGTTTTGAATTGTATCTCCAAAAATAGGAATACGTAGTTCAGTATAAAGAGAAATAGAATCTGAGATGTGTGCTTTTCAAGAAGTCCTTGACTTTGAAACAAGGCTTATTCTGAGAATGTTTACAGTTTCGAATTAGCAAATGTCTTTTGCCGATTAAATGGTGTTTAAAAACATATTTCACTTTTCATCATGACCATCACTGTAAAATGAAATATCTCAAGAGCAAGCTCAGTTATTGTGATTTCTATCTACACACAAAAAATGGTAAATATATGGTTCAGAAACCTCAAAGACTATAAATCAAGAGGTAACAAACTAGTCCCTTTAATAAAAATACATTTTGAAAATAACCCTTTGTTTATAATACAACTGTAGTCACTCCATGAGTGACTATTTTCTTTATTTGCATTTCTTAATCTCATAATGATTTTATTTTTAAATATAGTAAGGCACTTCCAATGATGAGGGTCAAGCATTTTAAGAAGAACGTTTTTATAAAGAACCATGATCCTCACTGCTTGGTCCACAGTATTAGTCAAACTTTAACCATGTAAATATTATATAGACCATATAAGAGTTTTAAGAAGTAGAAGTATGCTTTTATAAAACACCGTGATCCTCACTGCATGGTCCACAATATTAGTCAAACTTTAACCATATAAATATATAGACCATATAAGCATTATCATCTTTATAGACCCAGTAATTTAAGAAATTAAGTAAAGAATTAAAATTAAATTAAAAATTTAAGTTTAAATTAAAATTTTAAGTTAAACTTAAAATTTTAATTTAAGAATTTGAGTAAATTAAATTTGCATCATCTATCTTCATTTATAGAGTTTCCATTCCCAAGCTTTCCTTATAGCCATGCATCTGAGTTACTATTGTTGTGTAATAAATCACCTTATATGTAGAGGTTGAAAAGAGTTTTTATTATGCTCTATGATTTTTTTTAGGATTAACAAGAAAATGGTAAATACAGTAACTTAAACAAGACCGAAGTTCATTTCTCTGTAATGTAAATGTCAGCAGTTCAGGGCTTGCATGGTGGTTCTAGGATTATTGGGCACTGAGCCTCCTTCCAGCTTGTTGCTCTGTAATCCTCAGTTTGCTGTCCAGATTGCTGCTCTACCTCCAGTCTGTTCATCCATATCTCAGTCAAGAGGAAAGTAAAAAAGAGAAGGGAACTTCTCCTCTCACCACATACACATCCCCTATCTAAGAATACTTCCAGGAAGTTAAACACACCAATTCCTCTTACATCCTCTTGTCCAGAACTTGGTCACTGGCCATACCCGTAGTGTGACCAATTGCATGTTCCAAACACGACTGTAGAAGCCTCACCTGTTCCGTGTGCTCTTCAGCAGTGTGCCTTGCCATACCCCATCGAGAGCTGAAGCCTTAATTCCCCTCCTCTTGAATCTGGGTGGGCTCATGACTGCTCTGATAGAAGTCATGCCAGAATGACAGAAGAAGCCAGCCCTATGATGCTCCATCACATATCTTTGAGCATAATAAAAACTCCAAGGACCAGAGTGAGGACCTCAGGTAAAAGAAACAGTACTCCTGGCTGGCCAAATTTACATAGGACAGGCCCAGGAAGAGAAAAACATATAAAAAGAGGAGCCAAAGCTAGCTCTTGCTTTCTCTCCTCTTCGTGTCTTTGGGTCAACATGCCCTCACACCTCAAAGATGGATTTTCCTCCTATTATCTAAATAAAATAGAGCTGTAACACTGAGTTGTAATGCTGATTTATCTTAGAGCTATAACACAGTCTGTCTAAGACCCAAGAGCTGTGACACGCCGAGGGGGGCTTTAATGTCCATCACTCCAAATCTTTGTTGTGATGAGACAGAACTGAGGAGCATACACTTGCCTGACAGTTTCAAAATGCCATTATTCTTCCTTGTAGTTTTACTGTGTGAGGCATGGTAAATGACTCTATTATGAACCACAATGTGAGGGTCATGTGACTGTCATTTCTTTAGGGGTATAGAGGTGAGTCAAGCATGAAATGCATGATTGGGTTAGATGACCTCTATGGTCTGTCCCATCCTAGGATATTCTGCAATAGTATAATAACAGAAGACATATTGGATTTAAAGCAGCTTTGCAAACAGCTCTCTGATAACATTTTTTACTTCTCTCAGTTTTTAAATCAATTACCATGACCTGAAAAAAGTAAAGGTTGATGCTGATATTCCTATTATGTTAATACTGTTCTCAGAACACACATTCACTTCTCAAATCATATTCTTGCTTCTATTCACTACCCCAAAGCCCTTTTGGTAATATTATATGATTTCCCCTACTTTCATTTTCAGAATATTTCCTTTTGAACCTTGGAGTGCAGTGACAGTGACTTATGGGGACTGTTTATCTTTGAATTCTTTAAAAGAACATCACTGATATTGATTCTTTGGTTGTTGATTTACACAGCAATCTGCACTAGTGTCTCAGAAAATCAGAAGCAATTGTAAAGGAACTCCAAGAGTTCAGTACTGGAATAAAATAAGAGTGCTACAAAATTTGTTTTCACACATGGGAAATGAAACATATTGGACAGAAACAAAAGTTTGTTTATATGTAGCAGCTAAAACAAGACAACAGCATGGATAAGCCAATAGTTTGGACAGCGTCTATAATGCATAACAATAACTGTGGCCAATCCTTTGTCCTATTGTAAAGCAAAGGGAACTATATTTAATATCCTATAGTAAACAATGCAAAAAAATAAAAATAAAATAATAAAGTGGTCAGGTAGTATAAATATATGACAGCCTGCCTCTTCATTGGAGAAGAAAGTCCCAAACACAGTCACTTGGTGGTATAGGCACCTCACACTTATTTGCTAAAATGTATTCATCTCATAGCCTGAAAAATCTTTTAAACGTTTGGGCTGAGACTAAATAAACGTTTAATTTCTAGATGCAGCTTTATGAAGAATTGCTTCTAGATGACTGATGGTTCTCCAACTTTAGGGAGCACCAGAAGGACTTGCAGGACTTGTTAAAATACACTTGCTGGCCCCACCCCCAGATTTTCAGATTCAGTAGGTCCAAGGTAGGGCCTGAGAATTTACTCTTCTCTCAAACTCCCAGGTGATGCTTATGCTGCAGGTGTAGGGACCACACTTTGAGAGCCTCTACACTAGATTACCCAGGGAAGAGTGTATACAGATATTATATGTATTCCAAGAAGATAACTATTTGAAGTACCCTTTTTGCTTAATGTCAAAGTGTAAGTTCTTCTTTGGTTAGATAAGGATTAGAAGCAACTTCATTATTCTTTTCTCCTGTAAGGAGTCTTGCAAAGTTTTGAGATTCTCAAAAGCTACAGAAAATGTATCCTTAAATGCTAGTTTTCATAAATGGAATGTGGGTTTCTTAGGACTAAGTTGGACTCACAAGTTTATCTCTGCTTTCTGAAAGTCCACTAAACTAATGGCTAAAGGAAAGGGGAAAATAAAACAAAACTATAAACTCATAAGAACAAAAGGACAAGTGAATCATAATAAAAATATAAAATAATAATACAAAATTTAAATTATTCAGCTTTAAAAAGGAAGGAAATTTGGACACATGCTATAGCATGGGTGAACCTTGAAGACAGTATACTGTGTGAAATAAGCCAGACACAAAGGGCAAACACTGTGTGATTCCACTTATGTGAGTTATCTTATTATTGTTATTGTTTAGTTGCTAAGTTGTGTCTGACTCTTTGAGACCCCATGGACTGTGGCCCGCCAGGCTCCTCTGTCCATGAGACTTCCCAGGCATGAAGACTGGAGTGGGTGGCTATTTCCTTCTCTAGGGGATCTTCTCGACCGAGGGATCGAACCCAAGTCTCTGGCATTGCAGGCAGATTCTTTACTGCTGAGCCATGAGGGAAGCATCTAGAGAGTCAAGATTCATAG